TCGGAAGCAGGCTCCAGGCTCTGAGCTGTCAGCACAGAGCCCGAGCGGGGCTCGAACTCACGGACCGCGAGATCATGACCTGAGCCGAAGTCGGACGCTTAACCGACTGAGCCACCCAGGCGCCCCAAAATGATGTATTTAAAACCGTTCACTGTCCAACTACAACTGTGCAGCTCATTCTTAGAAGATAGAAATGTGATTTTAGAAGGATAGAAGCCTAAGAATCCAAATGCATTGAGGTGCTGGCGAGCTGCTTCAGTCCTGGAAGCCGGTCCAGGGCCGTCGCTTGTGGGAGCAAGCACTGGGTGGGAGCACTCCAAAGGTGACTGTCACACTGCCGCTCTTGTGAGAGCTGCCTTCGGAAACACTCCCCCCCACCCCACCCCCACCCAGTCTTCTCAGAGTGTGGCCTCTTGGTTTGCTAGCCCCTGTTACTGTACTGATTCCTAAGGATGCCGTTCTCCGCTCGGTGGGAGAACCACTGAAGCAGAAAGAAACCACACCGCCCCGGGGTGGGAGTCTCCCTGGATGTGTGGACAAGCCCACGCTCCGCCGACGCTCCTTTGGTCTGTTGGGACTTAGCGGGGGTCACATGAGAGCGGATGCCCCGTCTGAATTTCACACTGTGGACCAGAACATCATGCCCTTCCAGGCCTCTTGCTTTATGGCTTGACTCCTGGCTCCCTTGACTTTCAGGAACTAGTCCGTGATTTTTTGCCCCCTCTCAGTTGGCAACATTTTCCAGCTCATGGTAGGACACCTTCACCGTCAGAGTGTTCTGACTTTAAGAATTGTGCCTATTAAATATCAGAGAACTGAAAACGACCCGTGACGCATTGACCGAAGGTTATCTCTACCACATCTGTGCGAGATGTATAGATACTGATAAAGGATGTGAATGGTTTGATTTGTTAAAACGATGAACAGAAACTAACCAGCCTGGGGACCATGCTGCCTGTGTTCCTCTCACAACCCCTAGGGCAAGTCCGACACTCAGTCTGATCCTCCTTGGACGGAATTGAGCTGGACCATTTTGAACATTTTAATCTGTTTGAAAAATGATAAAAAAAGGACCCTATTCTTTGTACATTGGGGTAGAGAATAAATATACACTGGGTACTCCATACTCATTTGGACAAGGCTCCCTTATACTATATACCCGATGCTGTGCCTGAGCTCACTTCTGCATTTGCAGGACTTCTATACTCCTGTCGGAGGGCCCCTAGAAGAACATGTGAAGATACGTGTGTGTGTGTGTGTGTGTGTGTGTGTGTGTGTGAGAGAGAGAGAGAGAGAGAGAGAGAGAGAGAAGGAGGAGCACTCTGCTCCGACAGAGAGAGGAAAGTCAGCTTATGAACACAGTAACGGCGGAAGGAAAAATGACTCCTCTTTGCTCATTACCTGCGGATCTTTTCTTTCGGCAGATATATTGCCTTCGACTTCCATAAAGAATGTAAAAATATGAGATGGGACCGACTGAGTATTCTGATGGACCAGGTAGCAGAAATGCAGGATGAGCTAAGGTAAGCTGTATCTTTTCCTGTGGAGGTCGAGGGAGGAGGTCCGCGTGTAGATGGAGCATAGTTATCACACATCGTCTAGTGGGCTTACGAACACAGCGTGCCGGGTTGACCGCGCTGGTTTGGACTCTTAGTTTTTAGTTCCTTTTTTATTGGAAAGATGAGACTTAGTGGCTTAAAAATATTTTTAGGTTCTTAAAAACAACCCAAGGCCAGGTATTTTCACATTTTTATGAATCCGCTTCCACATTTACAAAGTTTCCCTAATTGGAGCTAGCGTACTACAATTTTATATTCCGTTGTTTTGACTAAACATTCCATCACGGATACTTTGATATTTCGTCGTTACCCTACCTGGTCTTCTTAATGATGGCGTTTAACGGCTTTTCTGTACTCCCCCGTGTCACCCTACAGGCTCAGCTAAGTGTTCTTTTTCATCCTAGGCATCCTGGCTTGTTTCCTTGTCTCTTCCCCCCACAAAACATGTGCTGCAGCGAATCACCCTGGGTGTGTCTATTCTCACTTCTGTTCGGTGATTCCCTAAAATAAAGTCTTGAGAGCAGGGCTAATAGTTCAAAGGGTCCGAATAACTTCATGGTACTTTCCAAACGTGTTTGGCAAGTTATTTGCCGTGTTGGCCTATGGGTTTACTGTCCTCTAAGCATAGGTCAATCTTTACTGATTCTAAAGACAGAAGAAGGGATCTCTAAGTCGCTCTGTCATTTTGTTCCACCTGGGCATGTTTCTGACCCCGACAACCCCCGTGCATTTTTTCGTGTTAGTTCCACAGTAACACAGTAAAACCTGTCGTGTAGGCATTTCTCAGTTTTTAAAAATGTTTCTTATGCCTATTAAGTAGTCGGCGACGGTTAGTTAAATCTGGTCTTTTTCTATGCGGTTTTGTCATGAGCAGCTAGTGAAGGGCGGTTGACGTGCACCATTATTGGGCTGCAGTGACACTGACCGGACCTGGGACGCTATCGGAGGAGGTGGCTCCTGGGGTTCGCCCATGAATCACTGCCCCACAAGAGCGTGAGAAAAGACGCCAGAGTCTGTCCCCCACCGCGCTCTGTGTCCCACAGGGACAGTGGAACTTTCCCCAGTGCCCTGCACAGGGCCTCTCTGGACACTTTCTCCTGGGGTTTTGGGGAAGGTGGAAAGAATCTGGGCTTTGGGGTATGAACTGTCTCGTTTTGAAATGTTTGCTTCTTATCAGCCATGTGACCAAGACAGTTGGTTTCTCCGTTTGTAAAGTGCAGATAATAATACCTACCTCATAGACCTAGTGTGTAGTTTAAGAAACGATATTTATCAGATACCCAGGACATACTCTGTAAGTACTAACAGCATGCTAACACCCACGTGCACTCATGCACACCTGTGTATATACACCAGCTCTAAACGAACCTCACCAAGTCTGCGTGAATCTCATGCAGATTTTTAGCCTAAGCGCATTCTTTTAGGCCCTTATTTTTAAGGTCATAATATTTATTTGGCCTGTGGTGAGTCTGTTGTGTTTCCCTGCTCCATTTCGATTTGGGGGAGTAATTACAACGAGATTACTTCGTGGTGTTCATCGTTTGCTCGGTCCCATCGGTTGCTCGGTTCATCGTTTGCTCCGTTCAGCGCTGCGTGTGTTACGCGTTCCCGTGGGGACCGGGAGCGGCTAGACGGGGTGCCGTCCCCTCCATCCTGTGGGTGAGAACTTTGGTTCTGAGAGATCAGGGCAATGACTTGAAGTTACACAGCCAGTGAGTGGCCTAAGCGGGGCTCGTTGCTCACTGCCAGAGTCCACGCTCTTTCCCGCTACGCTGCGCGTTGTCCAGAGTTTGAGTTCAGAGCATTATCTGAGGAAATTGTTAAAAATGAGAGAGACACAGGAACTGAGAACCGTGATTGGCTCCGGGGTGGACATGTGGGTGGTGAAGGGGAGAAAGGGAACCTCATTTTTCAGGTAACACCGTATTGAACTTTATAAACTCTGTACTTTTGCATATTTAACCCAGGATTCTTAACGCACAGTTTCCAGCCTTTGCTTGAGAGATGCTGACTTGAGTTCATCTCAAGGCCAAGTGCGTTCGGTTTAAAAAAGAAAAAAAAACAGCTCAGGGAATTCCGATACAGACGGTGTAGGGACCTTGCTTCGAGAAGTCTGATCTACAGGACGTAGATGAACAGCTGTGTCGGAGGGGGCCTGCTCTGGCCTCGGGGACGCCCCTTGGCCCTGCCGGTTCGTGTCTCGGGGGTGCCGCGGTGCGTGTTTGGACAGGGGCTGTCTCGCCTCGGCTTTTCAGACGTGGTTTTTTTTTTTTTGCTCTGTACTAATCAAATACCCCCCCGGGCCACACGTTGCCCTTCCGAACTTCTCATTTGCCAGTTGTCCACAGTGTTGCAGACCATCAGCAGCAGGGCGCTCGTGCGTCGGACTGCCTTTGCTATGAGGGTGTTTATACAAATATGTTGTAGTTATTTTCTAGTGGACTCCGCCGGCATGGTGGTGGCAAGCCAGGAGGGCGTGTTCCGCAGCAACTGCATGGACTGTCTGGACAGGACCAACGTGATCCAGAGCCTGCTGGCCCGCCGCTCGCTCCAGGCCCAGCTCCAGGTGCAAACGCTTTTTTCCTTCTGTTAAGTCAACAGTGCAGCCCAAGTAGCAAAGCTACGTTGACGAAATCGTTACCAGCCAAAACAAACAACAGAAGACATTTCACCTTGCTCCCCACCCTAAACCACCTGTTTTCGGTTTTGTGTCTTTCCACCTGTGGGTGTGCACATTTCTGTACCTGCAGTCGGTATGTGTGTGCATGGTGTCGTTTGTGCGTTCAGATTTTATTTTTAAGTCAGCTCTACACCCGACATGGGGCTCGAACCCCATGGGTCAAGAGTCGCAGGCTCCACCTGCTGAGCCAGCCAGGCGCCCCGTACAGTTTCTGATACTTCCTTTTCCTCCAGCGTTATACACAGCCATCATTTTTAAGAGTTGCACTTACTAGGTTGTTGCATTTTCGGCTTATAAGTAACACTGCAGAGAATATATCTTGGTGTGTTATTTTTAGCTCGAATGCTTCCCTTGGGGTTCATTCCTAGAAGTAGAATTTGCTGCGTCAAAGAGAATACGCTCTCCGAGAGGGTCATGGCACTTTACACTGGTAAACTGCTCAGCATGGTTGGTGAATCCGGTTCATTGAACTCTTGCCAGCCTTACGTGTTCTTATTTAAAACTTTGTTTTCTGTTTTAATAGAGTGGTGCCTCAAGGTTAAGTTTTCGTTTGCATCTCTTTTATTACTGAAGCTCAGAGTTCAGATAACATTGGCATTTATTATGAGGGGGCAAACAGAATGCATGCCAAATGGCTTCTTGCCCCCGATGGTTAGCTTTGTTTATGACAGTCCAATTCCTGATACCAGGAATTGTGGAAACAAAACACCTCCTTTAAAACGAATTGTCCTTGACTCCTAGTAGGTAACACAGGCCAGAGGAGCGGTTTCCCTGTTGGAGCATGATCTACTTTGTATTGTACCTTGTCCTCGTTCATCTGATGGATTTACTTCAGAGTGTATTTTTTGATGGAAACAATGGTAGCAAAGAAAGAAAAAGGAACAATATTAACAGCGGTTGTTTCCAAGTCTGATAAACAAAAACCTATTTAATAGGTTCTATAATCGGTACTTAACTATTTCACATGCTAAATGTAGTACTAAACAACCTAAGCCACATTTCCAGGACTCTACGCATCAGTTCGGCTCTGGTGGGGACTCCAGGCATACCTCCCC